AAAACAAAACGCCTATTATCCTGCAAGAGATGACCTAACTGTTGGAGCAAGTGAGTTGTGTCAATTGTTCAGGCTCGAATCTCGTTGCCAACGGTTGCTAGATCAATCTTGTTACACATGATTAGCCCTTTACGTTTCTTGTATAGTTTGCAAGGTATTATACGAAAAGTCTATGTATTTAATCAAATCGGATGGATTCAATAAACAAAAAATCATTAACTTTTGTAACATTGTTATCATATGAAAATTTAATATAAAACAAAATGAAAACTAAACTACTAATTGGAAATATATATTTAAAATAAAGGCCACCTCTGAGTCATGGTTAAATTATTAAAAAAACCCTTATGTTTGGATAATTACAGTCACTCCCTCATTTTATTTAATTCAGTTATTTACCGGTCACTCCCCTCCTTTTATTTAATTCAGTTATTTACCGATCACTCCCCTCCTTTTATGTAATTCAGTTATTTACCGAACCAAATCGTATATTCATTTTGGTAAACGGTATAAAATGTTGACGTACTGAAAATTTGGTTCAATTTTACCGATTTAACATCCTTAAATTTACATGTAAAGGAGTATTTTCGTAATTTAAAAGGAGGGATAGCTGTAATTACCAAGAAGAAGATTTTTTTTTTTCATAATTTGGCCATAATATGGCCTAATATAAAAGATAATAATATGAACTGGTAATAAAAAGTCAAAAGTCAAAAAAAAAAAAAAAAAATTCGTAATAATTTAAAATTCAGGGTTATTTACAGCACACAAGCACTATAAAATCCTCAATAACTGGAGTTCCAAAATCCCAAAAAAAAAAACAAAACAAAAAAAAAATAAAGAAATAAAAAAGGTTTTGAGAGAATTGGACGCTCTTAGTCACCTTTCTTCCACCACAGAAAAACCTAATCATGTCAAAATACAATAAAATCCGACACATTGTGAGACTCCGTCAGATGCTCCGATCATGGCGGATTAAGGCAACTTCGCCGTCTTCTCACCACCGTTCGCCGCCGGATGTGCCGGCGGGACACGTGGCGATCTGCGTGGGGAGCAATCGCCGGAGGTTCATCGTGCGCGCGTCGCACCTGAACCACCCAATTATCAGGCGGCTGCTCAGCCAGGTCGAGGAAGAGTACGGCTTCTCCAGCCACCCCGGACCTCTAGCGATTCCGTGCGACGAGTCGCTGTTCGAAGAGATACTCCGACTCGTTTCCGCCGGCGGCGGCGACTCGGCCGCCAACTCGGAGTTTCACAGATGCTGCGACGACGTCGTTTCCAGGAATCAGAACCCTAATTACTGCTTCGGCGAATCTCGGCCGTTGCTTTACTGATCTATTTTAACCTTCGAAAATGGGAACTCAATTCACTTTGCTCTATTTCATTTAGCAAATCTAATTTGTTTACTTTTTCATCTGACTGGTTGTGGTAACCCGGTGTATAAAACTCAACCGAGTCATCCCGAGTTGACTTGAAATAAATAAGCGCGTTTTATTAGCAAAAAGCGTGTTTTTTTTGTTTTTTGGGCTTTGTTTTGAGTATTATAGTTAGACCAAAACTCGGGTTATAAGAAGTGGATTATTCATTTCTTGGTTTATGAAAATTGAAAGCCCAATACAATCTAATAACAAAATTAAATAAATATTTGAATGCGTATAAATTTATAATAATTCGAGCTCCTTAATTTTTATGTTTATTCGTTAAAAAAATATAAATATTTGTAAATTGTAAATTAAAATATATTATCTCTGAATATAGTTGTTTATATTTAAAATTATATTTTCTTCTCGAATTAAATCAAGGTAATATAAGGTAGCTCCGCCACCGAGCTAGAACATATAATATAATTTGCATAACTAAAAATTTGTTTTGAGGATTTTGAGAAAGATCGGTAAAATCTCAATAATTTAATACTCGATAAATTAATAACTCCACTGAAATAATAAGTTTTATTGGTCATTAATCGATGACAGCTTGCTAAATTATTAATTTCATAATTTAATATTTCATTAAATTAATCGAATTTTGCTAGTCCTAACTATTGTACTTATTAAAAAAAATGAATTATTGCGTTTCAATAATTGATTATTGCAAAGACCAATGTGGACCATTACCCATTTATCATGTAGTATGAGCCCACTTATTGTGGGCCTTTCAGCCCATTTGAGCAAAGTCCTTTTTTTCTTGTGATTTTATTTTAACTAAATATTACTACTATTTCTCTATAATACGATTAATTATAAAATGATGTGTGTTAAAATTACTAGTTATTTAAAATACGATTATAACTTTTAGGTGCAGTTTGAAAAAACAAATATCAAGATGAATGTTGATAAACAAAATAATGACGAAAACGCCCTATGCCTTTTTAGGTGGGGTTTGCAAATGCTTTTTGAAAGTGATTATAAGTTTTTTTTTTTGCTTATAATCTGTTTTCAGGTGTTTGCAAAATTAAATTTTGCTTTTGATTCTCTTAAAATAATTACCTTTAAGCTATTTTTTTAAAAACACCCATAACCCTGCTTTTTCTATTTAAGTTCATTTTCTGGAATATTTGCAAACACCCCAACTTTTAGAAATAAGCACTTAAAACTGACTTAACTCATAATCACTAACTTCTGCTTTTAAATAATCATTTTAAACACCACCTTAGTTAGTTACATAAGTGCTTTTAAATTGGAGAAGCGTTCTTATGGTGCTTCTCAGATTATAGTTTAAAGGGCAAATTACAACCACCCCTGAGGTATGGTCAATTTATGAAAAAAACTCCTCTTGTTTGGATAATTACATCTACCGCTCAACTATGATTTTTTCTTACACCTTCACTCTTATGGTTTCAAATTCACATGATCATCTAGATTTCGTTGAATGTGCTCTAGTTTGTACTTGTTTTGTGTAAAAATACAGTTTATGATTCACCACAATCAGATATATACTAGCTATAAGCCAAAAAACACATATTATGATCATCTTGCATCAAAATGTAGAGTTCGAATGGGATAAAACAGGTACAAAAGTGATAATATTCCATATAATCTCGAAGATTTCACTAAATTTGAAACCGCAAAGGTGGACGTGTAAGAAGATTTATAGTTGAGGGGTTGTTGTAATTATCCAAACAAGAGGGGGTTTTCGTAATTTGACCATACTTCAGAGGGTTGGTTGTAATTTACCCTAGTTTAAATTTTTTTATGTTTAGAGGGAAAAAAAGAAGCAAAATAAATAGGATTTTTCAGACCCTAAAACTTAACCGGGTAATTCGAGGACATAAAAACGAGCAATTAAATGGTACACCTGATTATATATATATTTGGTGAATTTCAAATATAGATCTATACATAATTACACATACTCATGTGTATAATTACGTATATATGCTTAGTTGATGGTTATTTAATCAGATCTACGCTTGAAATCCAAAAAAATGTACATAACCAGATGTAGCATCTAACTCACGTGATAACACAGTGAATGTGTTGTTTTGTATAGGATTAGTTTTGATTAGTATTTTTTTTTTTTTGTGGATTATTAATTTTAGTGATCTAGATCACAATTATATTCAAAACAAGACTTCAGTTGTGTAGTCAACAACATCCAAATTAATTAAATAAAAGAAATGATTTGATAGATATTCATGCCTCCCACTATACTCAAGATTGATGGCTTTTGACAAGATAGTTTCACATGGTTTGGGGCCAATTGAATAAACGCAGCCAGCACAATACCATATGTCTATATCTTAAATTAAATTAAATAAATTAAAAAAGGAAAAAATTGTTGTGGGTATTATTATTATTAGGGCATATTACAAATAAGCCCATCAGTGGGAACTTATTCATAAAGAGATCCAGACAATATTCTCCTTTACCAATAAGTCCACACATGGTCCAGATTTATGTAAATGACTAAAATAACCCCTCTTACTTTAATATGCTCCAATTTCATCCTTAACTTACTTTAACTTCAATTTGACCCCAACTTTCACAAATTATTCAATTTTGACCCAAAACTTTTTTTTTTCACAAATTTTTTTTTTTTCAAAAACTTTTTTTTCCCGCCGGATTCCGGCGTTGACCGGCGGTCAACGCCGGTCTCCGGCGTTGACTTTTTAAATTTTTTTTTTTTTTTTTTTTTTTCTTCCGGATTTTTTTTCCGGATTCCGGCGTTGACCGGTCAACGCCGGTCTCCGGCGTTGACTTTTTAATTTTTTTTTTTTTTTTTTTTCTTCCGGATTTTTTTTCCGGATTCCGGCGGTCAACGCCGGTCTCCGGCGTTGACTTTTTAATTTTTTTTTTTTTTTTTTCTGTAACTTTTTTTTCCGTTTAAACAGCAATATTGCTGTGAATGACAGTAATATTAACTATATTACTGTTAAACACAGTAAAATTAACTAAACTATAGTTTAACACATTGATATTGCTATATTAATCTCTAGCACATTAATATTAACACAACAAAATTCATTATTATTGTATAATAAAGTAATATTACTATGTTGTCCGTTCAACAAATGTAAAGAAAATAAAAAAAACCAAAAGAATTAATATTATTGTGAGTGACAGTAATATTACTATAGCAACAGTAATATTACAATAGTAGACAGTAATATTATTACGTTACTTCGTGAATAACTCGAACAAAACAAACACCCCAAAAAAATAATAATATTGATGTTGTTGACAGTAATATTATTGTGTTTACAGTTATTTTACTGTCAACGACAGTAATATAATTACGTTGACTTGTCAACAAATCAAAAAAAATAAAAAAAAATAATAATAAATAAAAAAATATAATATTGCATTAATTTACTGTCAACGGCAGCACAATTACATAAATGTAATGTCAACGGCAGTACAATTACGTTAATTAACTATCATTGACAGTATAATTACGCTAAATTACTGTCAGTGACAGCACAATTACGGTCAACGTGTAGCGGCGGGCGTGGAAAAACAAAACAAACCAAACAAAAAAAAAAAAACTTAAAAAACACTAAAGAAGAGCCGCCGGAACCGGCGAAAAATCCGGAAGAAAA